CTGTCCATTTTACATTTTCACTCTAGCTCGAGCATTTTGTGAAACACCATAATAAAAGAGTGTTGAAGTATATATCAAAAAGGCACGAGGGCATATATGGTTCAAAATCAGTCCACTGGGCTTTTTAAAAGAAACTCGTTAACATTTTATATAGAATGAAATAGCTTGCTAAGATGAGCATTGAGGGTATGGGTGTGACAGTGGACGCGAGAGTGAAATTCAAGATGAACAGAACATTCACACTGACACCCAATCGTTGAATGAGTCTGAGTATCAAACTAGGCTTGTTAATATTGAGAAAAACACTGTTCCTAACCAATGGGTCATTGACGATGCAACATTGAACGTTGGCTCATACAAGCAGCGTTTGTTTTGTGTCCATTCGAAATACCTTAGGAATGTGTTGGTAAAGCGTTGAGTACTTTATGTCTTGGAAACACCGTTCATTAACATTGCTGCTTGTTACATTGAAGAGCAGCATGTCGAAAAACTTGCCATGACAATAGTATTGGCAACGTCACAACATTGCTTCACCTGAGCATTGACAGTATTCTGCTTTGTTAAAAGTTGAAAAACAACAACAACTGGTGACAGACAGCACAGTGTACTGAAAAAAAGTCGAAAAGTTAATATTGAAATGAAGAAGTATTGCAATCGGAAAATATCGAAAAAAGATGCCTCCAGTAAATAGTGATTCTAAATACTATCTTGACGGTGTGAGTGTGTTGTTGAAGAAAGGGATAAGACTTGCACCCACCCTCCAAACTAAAACATAGTCATATAATCAAACAAGTAGTTAGTTTCATTTTAAAATGCGCTAGTGTTAGTTCGCTTTGGGGTGTGGGTGTGATTGAAAAGATAATCCACACCCACACCCACCCACTGTTATGTCTTCATTTCTATTCTCTTTATTTTACTCTCATATTATTACGTTCTGTTATCTCCGAGACAGCAACCTGATGGTATGACAACAGAACGGAACAAAAGATACTCCTCCCGAGGAAATCGAACCCACGTCTTCTGTTTTCCGGGCAGCTGTATTACCACTGTACTAGAAAGGATTGTATATCATTCCTTTTATTCCGTCTTATGACTGAAGGGGAACACATCAGACATAACACCCACCCACACCCTCCACATTCAACACTATCACACATGCATTTGATTATAACAACAGCTATATGGATGAATAAAACATCAAATAGATCAAATACACGAATATCATGAAATGTACAAAATGTTCCATTTGCAGTTTTTGGTATTATGTTATCATTTAAACAGTTCTTTCAACACAGTTCTCAAATCTTTGTGTCAGTGGGATAACCAGGAATTTTATGGATAGTGAGCAATTTTCCAGCCAAATTGTTTTGGAGAAGTGGACAGCCATGGACAATTATCATCATCTGAAAAAATCTGTGGGCAATAACTTCTAAAGTGTTCAATAGACCCATCTCTCGCTGCCCAACTACTTTATGTATTTATTAAAATAAAAATAATTGATTCAGTTAGTAATTTTTTTGGCATAATATTGAACCCATACTACATTTTCATTTCGATTGGATAACGTGATTGAAATCTAGTATTACTCATGCACTTATTTCTGTTGCATACTTTCAAATAATTGATTTTTTTACTATTTCAAAATGTTAGTTATTGGACTGTAAACAAAATTTAGAAACTATTCGAAGATTCAAAAAAAAATCAGATACCCCACATCTTTTCAAATAGTTCTTCAAGACGAAGAAATATCGAGACACGGTTTTCATCGATTTGTAGACAAGTCTGGAACACATCGAACTATGATAGAAAAATATTTTTATCAGATTTCCAGGGATCTTTCAGAAGGATCTTTGAAAGAACACATCACCGATCGGAGAAACTTTGGCGAGCTTCTTATCCAACTTGACTCATTCTGGAGCCCCAACTCTGCTCTACAAAACTACGCAAAATGCACGTTTATTTGTTGCTCGGTTCGCGTACTTTTCTAGGTCAGACTCGAGACCACAAATGCACTAATTTCGATAATAAAAACCGCTGAAACTTCTCTAATCGGCGAGATATTTCTTCAAAGATCCTTCGGAAAAATCTCTGGAGCAACAGCAATTTTCACAATTAAAATTAATCTCATATGAATACAGATTATATCTCTTATAGAATTCTCGAATATTTTCAAAGAAAAATAACCAGTATATTTATTGCTTGAATAAAATATCTAAAATGCGAGAATATAACAATAAGAGCAAAATACTAGTTTATCGAAATTTAAATGTAAAGAATATTTAACAGTTTCAATGAATAAAAACATTTGTTTAATTATACTTCCAATGCTTTCATTGTTTCAATAATTTTATCGACAATATACTATAACAGAATAAACAAATTAATAAATTTTTATTGAAAAGAAGAACGTACTATTGCTTCACCAATATTTTCATATGGAACAACTTTTATATGTAAACTATCTTTTTTTGTCATACCAAGTACATTTGTTTCCTAAACGAAATATTTTATTTAAATGTAAATCAAATTTTAGCTTTACTTTTAAAGTTATTTCAATCAAATTTGAATCAAATTTGACAATTGGTGTTCCTTTTATTTCTTTTAAATGATAATCCCATTCAATATCATAACCAAATGATGAAGATTTATTTTCAATTAAAAATAATATTCGTCTAAAAAAAAATAAAATTTATTTTAATTAGAAAATTAATCAATAATTGACTTTGTTGTAGTAAAAAATAAAGTAGATGGTTCTTTGGTAGCATTTATATGTGCAATATAACCTTCAGTAGTGTGATGTTTATCATCAGGAAATTGCTAAAATCAATATAATATATCATATTCAAAAAATAAAATAAACGTACATCAAATATAAAGGATCCCAAGGTTTCATGAGCAACTGACGGTCGAACAATTCCATCTTTTCCAACATGACGTGGATTACGAACTCGATGAATTATTTCTTCATGTGCTGCAACTCTATTTATAACGAATAAAATATTTTTTATTTTATGACAAAAAAAGAATTTGTTAATATGAAACCTTTTAATTAATTTAAATGATGAACTTGTTAAATATGCAACACCACTTGCAGGTCTTCCAACAAGACCAAGTAAACCTTTACCTAAACCTTTAACAAAACCTTTTCCACCAGATTTTTTTGCACCTTTAACTGGTTTTTTAACAACACCTTTAACACCTAATACAACATCCTAAATAAATAAAATAAAATATTTAAATAAAAAGTTCATAATGATAAATAAACCTTAATTGCATTTTTTCCACTTGCAACAATATCAGATGTTGCTTGAGATTGATATTCTTTTCTTTGAATTCTTGCATTTTGATAATCTTTATCTAATGTTAATGTAGCTAAACCTTTACTTGTTGCTTCAGTTACTTTTGAAACTGCACCAGCAGTACCACCAACAACAGAACCAAATAAATATCTACTACCTGTTGCAATACCTTCAATAAATTCAATAGGACCTTCCATTGCTCCCTTAAAAAATTTAATATTCTATTTTTTTTATTTATAAATAAAATCTTTAAACTAACTTTATATGGTTCATAAAAAAATGATTCAACACCTTCTGCAACTCCACGAATAACTCCAAATGGATTTCCAAGAACATCAAGACCAAGAACAACAACATGAAGTTGTTTTAAAAATTGATTTTCATAATGATCACTAATTTCTTTTGTTAATTTTGTTATTGTATATCGATCATTTTTTCGTTCATAAAAATTTAATCTAAATTTTAATATTTTATTATGAATTAAAAATTAACAAATTAAACATACTTTAATATAACATCTTGAACTTCTGCTACATTTAAGATTTGTAATAAGAAATCAACCATTGGATATTCAGCTAATAATTGTTCACTTGCTTTTGCACCATGCATTGAAAAACTTACATGAATCTATTCAAATTGATAAATTATATTTAGAGGAAGAAACAATTTCACAAAGTCTTTTTCCATAACCGACATTATCGTCTCAAGAAGGTAAATGTTGCATCTGTGCACCGAATTGTGATAAAAGAGACTGCGATGTCCATAGAGTTTTAGATAATAAAGCAGATATTCAAGTTAGAAATAGAAGTGAGAATGATAATATTATAATTTCATTTCCGACATTGACGAATATTAATCGGAAGATTGTTTCTTCAAAGTTGTAGACTCGAGAATTTCACAAGGAAAATATTATTTCCCAGCAAGACTTTCCTTGGTCATGGTTAGGAGAAAACATGACATAGTTCATACCATATAAAAGAGGAGAACCTCTCCGAATCTTTTGATTATGGCAGTCAACACTATGTTTTGTCATTGCAACAGTAGTGAAAATCTTAATTGAACAGTTTCTTCAGTCTTATAAGAAGACTACATGTGTCGTGTCCGCATCAATCAGGAAGTTAAGAGGAATCCTCTTTCATATAATTTGAACAATAGCATATTTTCTTCTTACAATAATATAGAATAAGCGATGCTGAGAAATAGCCTTTCCATAATAAAATTATCAAGTCTACAATTTTCGATTGACATTTGTTAACCTGAAAAATCTTCAGTTAAGTTTTATAAAACATTGTCATTTTGTGAAAATAATCTTATTTTAATCTCGATAATCGAAATAAAATATTTTGTATTTGTATTTTATTTTTCAATTTAATCACCGTTAATTTTAAATTCGTGTGGGAAAAGATAATGAAGCGCTGACAACTCTCAACGTGTACTTTTCTTCTTTATTCTATATGAATATGTTTTGAGAAATAAACTTTTCATGATGAATTATCTTAGATAGAAGAGGATCTGAAATATAATAGATGAGATTATTATCGGAATTTTTTCGATAAGGATCAACTCGTTTTCATCGTCGAAAATGCAGATGTCTTAAATGATTTTCCTTGATCGATCTATTCATTATTCAGATATGTATATTGCATCTCAAAAAGTGACGCTATCGTATCATTTTGATCTTTTAAAACATCTTCTACTACTAACGTCATGATGAATATCTTTCGTACGATTATCAATATCGTCAAATAATCTTTTAGCGATATTTTTTCTAGATTGTTTAAGATTCTTAAGAAAGAAACAAGCTAACGTTCATCGACAATCGATTCACTTGGCCCTAGGCTGACGGAATACCGATACGAACATAGTTGTATATAGATGTAAACGAGGATCCACTATACATAATCGTCTGTATTACAACTACCAAATGGTCATTTGTACCATAGTAACTGAATGGTTGTTTTAGCTGTACTTCCTATACGGTCATTTGCATCGTTATTTTGGCCATACTCGTCAGATGGTCATTTTGACCGCGTTACCGACAGGCATAGGTGAATTTCAGTTTCTAGACCCTATTCTTTCAGTCTAGGAAATAAAATAATTTGGGACATCAAAATCTGTTAAAATCGTTAATTTTAACTACATAGTTTTTGTTATGTCGAATAATTCTTACAGTTTGATCAGCGAATATTTCAACAAGAAGCTTTTAACGTACTTCTGAAGAGAATTGTTTAATCTTCGTAGTGTATATGAAAAATTTCTGAAATTATTTTCACTTTTCAATTTAAAAATAAAGAAAACTTTCTCCATTCCAGACAATTTCTAATCTAAATCAATTAGATAGATGATAAATAGATTGAATAAAAAAAGAACGTTTATACATCATTCGATAGTGCTCATTAAGAACTATGAATCAATAGAAGCAGATTTCTTTTAAGAAATTTTCATTTTCCACAAGATAGATTGAATTATCAGATGGATTTGACAAAAGAAAATATTACCTTAAGTGGAGATAAATGTAGATTATCAAAATAAATTTTTGATTCTCCAGATGCATTATCTGTTTCACCTTTAAATAATGTTTCTAATGGTTTATCAATACGTTTAAGATCCGGATTCATATCAACTGTAGGTGCTGCTAGATCCTAAGAGATTTTAAAATAACGTTTAATTATTAATATTTAATTAAAATAAACCTTTTGTTGTTTAACAAAAGCAAGAATAGCTACAATTAAACCTTGATCAACACAAATAAAAAATTCTTGTATTAATAATTTAAAATATCTAAATGAAAAAAAAAAGAAATTTGTTTTCAAAAAAAATAATGAATTTCTCTTGTTAAATACTTGATGTGTATTGTATTTGATCTGACTGATTGACTTTTAAAAAGACTTAATTCAATAAATGGTTTTCCAGCTAAATAAATAAAT